GATATACAAATGCAGACCCCGAACTGTGGTGTTGTATTTAGTTTTAAGGTTGTTACCCAGATAATCTAGACTATTCTTGAAGATATTGAGAAGAAAATACAAAATTAAAAAAAAATTTTTTTTAAAGATTTTATTTATTTACTTGACAGAGAGAGACACAGAGAGAGAGGGAACACAAGCAGGGGGAGAGGGAGAAGCAGGCTTCTTGCAGAGCAGGGAGCCCGATGCAGGGCTCGATCCCAGGACCCTGGGATCATGACCTGAGCCGAAGGCAGACGCTTAACGACTGAGCCACCCAGGCCGCCCCTTTTCAGTATTTTTCTTATAAACTGCTTCAAAGCTGTTTTCAAAAGGAGTCGAGGTATAGATAGATGTATGAATAGAGAATTGAATGGTGGTAGGACTTTGGTTAGGATAGGGAAGATTAGAAGAAATCAGAATTCCCAAAAAAAGGAAGTGGAAGAGAAGGTCAGGGTGAGGAGGATAGGAGGCAAGTGTCAGGGAAAAGAAGTCGTCTTCGAACGAACCAGGAGAGACGATGGACTCTGAAAAACAAACTGAGGGTTCTAGAGGGGAGGGGGGTGGGGGGATGGGTTAGCCTGGTGATGGGTATTAAAGAGCGCACGTTCTGCACAGAGCACTGGGTGTTATGAACAAACAATGAATCATGGAACACTACACCAAAACAAATGATGTAATATATGGTGATTAACATAACAATAACAAATTAAAAAAAAGAAGAAGAAGTCTTCGAGCATTGTCAGATGCCAGGAGGTGGGGGAGGGTGAACCAAAGCTGGCTCATTTGGTAGAGCATGTGACTCTTAATCCTGGGATCGTTGAGGTTGAGCCCTATGTTGGGCGTAGGGTTTAAAGAAAAGCTGGCCTTGGGGAAGTGGGTCTTCCCAAATAGGCCCTCTGTGCTCCTCCCCGGGTCGGAGCCAGGGCCTTGTCTGAGTAGGCCTGAGCAGGAAAGTGGATGTTCTTGAGCTGTGGTTTCTTTCTGCTCCTGACCTGCACAGGTTTGGCCCCTACTACACAGAGCCCGTCATCGCTGGGTTGGACCCGAAGACCTTTAAGCCCTTCATTTGCTCTCTAGACCTCATCGGCTGCCCCATGGTGACTGACGACTTTGTGGTCAGTGGCACCTGCTCAGAACAGATGTACGGGATGTGTGAGTCCCTCTGGGAGCCCAACATGGTGAGTCGGCGGCACGGGGTGGGACTGGGCTCTGAGGTGTCCACCCCTCGGCCATCAGGGAAAAATGTGTTTACGTGGTGTGTGATGAGGAGAGTGAGGAGCTGCAGGTAGGAGAGAAAGCCCAGCTGCTGGGCCTTGGGAGGGTGTCCAGAAACTCCATCTGCCAGGCCTTGGTGCAGGCAGATGTCACTGCTGGTTAGTAGAGGAAGTTCAGAGCTTGAACTCTCCTTCACTTTCCCTTCCATACCCTGCTTCCTTTTGAGGAGCTGAGGGGGCTTCCCACGTCCAGGGAACCAGCCCTCACCCACTTTCTGTTAGGAGACCCCAGTCAGATATTTGCTGCAACAACATAGTTCTCACCTTGGATTTACGGGGTTCTCGCATCCATTCATTGAACAAACATTGAACAAGGTGTAGAGTTAGAAGCGGCTCCACAGGATGGGCTCTGAGGCCGGGGTTGTCTGGCTTGGAAACCTGGATCCACCTGTCACCTAGTTCTGTTCTTAGGTCAGTCATCTTACCTTTTTGTGCCTCCACTGGCCCACCTGGAAGATGAGGATAATGACATGGCCCACCTTAGGAGGGGCAGTGTGAGGAAGACACGTGAAGACTGGAACGGTGCCTGGCCGTGGGGGCTGCCCGTTCTGTCAGCTCTGCCGGGCCCTGGGAAACCAGGCAGTCTGTCTTCACGGGCTTACTGCAGTCTGATGAAGCAAGACAGACGCCCGAATGCACGCCAAAATGCGTTTGTCAGGAAGTGGGGAAACGAAAGGGCCTGGCTGGCAGGAAAACAGCCTGTGGGAAGGTCGCAGAGGACCCAGGTGTGTTCAGTGATGAGAGAGCTTGCGTGGCTGCTGGAGCATGCGCGGAGCGTGGGGCGAGATGATGGTGGAGAGCAAGAGTGGGCCGAGACGTCAAAGGCCTCGAGTGCCGTGCCAGGGAGCTTGAACTTTTCCCTAGTACCTTGTGTCAGAGGCAGTCAGGGTCCAGAGTCCCGCAGGTCGATGCCATAGGCTTATTGTGGTCACCTGTAGGAGGAGCAAAGATAGTTGCCGGTGGCGGTGGGGGGAGAGGTGCAGCAGCTAGAGTCTAGAGGATTTGGTCGCTTCAAACAGTAGTGAGGGAGGTGGAGATAATGTGGATGTCTGAGTTTTCTAGCTAACCCGACTAAGATGGAGGATGGAGGAGGAACAGTTTTGGGGGGAGGGAGTGGGTTCATGGTTGGACAGGTAAGTTTTGAGGCACCTGTGTGACACCCAGGAGAGCCCATAGACAACTCATAAAGCACCTGGAAGTCAAATGGATTCACCTCATTTTACAGAAGAGGGATTGAGCTTAATAAAGGGACATATAACTTGCCCAGGGTCACTGCTGGTTAGCGGAGGAAGTAGGGCTTAAATTCTCCTTCACTTTCCCTTCCATACCCTGCTTCCTTTTGAGGAGCTGAGGGAACTTCCCACATCCTGGGAACCAGCCCTCACTTTAGGCACGGGGATAGCCAGAGGTGGGGACCTTGAGCCTAGGAGAAAGAGAGTTAAGGGGTCAAACCAAGTTAGGGTCCAAGGCTCTGGGTCTGAGGCTTCCGCTGTGTTGGCAGGATCCAGAACACCTATTTGAAACCATCTCGCAAGCCATGCTGAATGCCGTGGATCGGGATGCAGTGTCAGGCATGGGAGTCATTGTCCATATCATGTGAGTATGAGTTGGGAAAAGCCGAGAAGCTTTGCAGACACGTACCTTTCCCCTCCTGGACAAACACCTCCTTTTCCCATCCCCCTGAGCAGGTGCAAGGGAGGAAAGGCACTTGTGGCAGGCTTGGGATAGCAGAAATCCAACCTGGTTCCCCTGGCCTTGGTCAGGTGAGGCTCCGTGACTCTGAGTCCGCCCCCCCCCCCCCCCCGCCGCTGCTCACAGTGGACATTGCTCTCTTAAGTATCCCCAGAGTCTCAGAGGTCTGTGTGGGGATGAGCCACAGCAGAGCTACTGCAGATTCAGAATTCCAGGCAACTCCCTTCTCTCCCAGCTCCTGCTTCTGGATGACATTCTGAGCCCCAACAGGGTGATATTCTGAGCTCTGGGAACAGATTTTCCAATCCCAGCCAGTTCCCTACCTGCCACCCCCCATTTCCCCTTACTTTTCTGGAGCTGTCACCAGGAACCTGATTGGATGAAGTAGATGTACTCCCAACAGCTTTCCTTGGGTACATCCCAAAATAAGCATTTGGACCCTTTTTTTTTTTAACGGGAGAGCTTAATTATCATGAAGAACAGACTGGGGCTGATACAGAGAATTGACCACTCGGGTCTTTTATGTTCTTGGGATGAAACACAATACTCGTCCTTCCTGACTTGGTTCTCTGTGCCGGGGTGGGGTGGGGGGCGCTCCTGCCCTTCTCTGGAGGGCTGCCCAGTCAAGCCCTGAATCACCTGGACTCTTGGTGGGTCCAGCTTTGGAGATTCTTCACTAGTCTCCCTGTTCCGCCTTTCTCCCTTTCCTCATCCCAGGCTGAGCAGACAAGCTGTTAATGTAAAACAAGCAAAACAGTTAAACCTAGAGTTGGCAGCATAGCTTTGCTCTGCATTCTAGAATGGTGTAGATGTTTTGTGACTTTCTCCCCCTGCAGTGAGAAGGACAAAATCACCACCAGGACACTGAAGGCCCGCATGGACTAACCCTCTCTTCCCAGAGCCTACCTTTTTTTTTTTTTTTTAAATAAATAGTTTTTCTTCACTTCTGCTTTTTCGTCTTTGGGTCTTTTACCAGAGATCTTTCTCCCCAGCTTGGTAGTTACAAAGAGCTCCTCTGGGTATAGCTCAGCCCTTGGGTTTTCTTCTTGACTTAGAGCATCCTCTACTGGTGCACCAGTGGGGTAACATCTACAGATGACTTGCTGAGGGCCTGCTGTGTGCTAAGCCTGGCACAAAGTGCTTTACACATTCTAAAATTTAATCATCATGGTGACTTAAGGCAGTTAATTTGCTCAAGGCCACTTTAATAAGTGGTGGAGCAACGATGGAAACCCATTTTCCATTTGACCCCAAAGTCTAGAATCCTTTTCACTCAGTTCTGCTGGAAAACTCTTAAATCTTTCATTGTTTCAGGTAGAAATTGGGCCAAGTAGCCACAAGTAATACCCTTGTGGTTCAGCATTTCTTAACCTTGGCTGCACATTAGTCACACAGATACTTTGATTCCATCCCTCAAGATTCTGACTTAACTGGCTTTTAAAGGCCTAGGTACCTGTCTTTCCTAAAAGCTTCCCAAATGATTCCAGCTTGCAACCTGTGGCCGTGGTTCCCTAACTTGTGCCTCCATCAGAATCACCTGGAGGTCCTGTTAAAACCGTTTCTGATTCGGATCTGCAGAGGGACCTGGGAATTTATTTCTGACTCCCAGCTGCTGCTGATACAGCTGGTCGAGGACCACACTGGGAGAACCCCTAGATTTTAAGCTGAGAGTCTACATGGAGAACATGAGATACGCGAGGTGACCACGTAGCTAGTTAAGGGAGAGCAGGGACAGGTGTGGTAGGTGTGTGCCCCCCCCCCCCCGCCGGTGTTGGTCTTACACAGCTGGAGAAGTGGGGGCCAGTGGTTTGTCCATTCCTCAGTGTGCACAGAAGGGTCAGGATTACCAGCCAGATGTGGAAGTCGGCGGCCTAAGTTCTAGCCTATATTCTTTCTCCAAACTCAAGTCACACACGGATTTTGTCCAAGCAACCTTTGAAACTGGGACCCAAACCTTTTAATTCTGAAAAAAATAAAGGCTCATCTCCAAAGGACTCACACATGACAGATGTGTACACAAAGCTTTTTGAGTTTTATTTGTTCCTTGGGTTGGAGATTCATCTTAACATGCATGCATTTTAAAACAGTAACAGGGTCTTGAACTGTTCTGAGCAGACATTAGACAAGCACAAGGGGTTGAAAATTCCTATTTAAAAAAATGGAGGTCGCAGTGAGAAACCGAGAAGTCACGTCCATATGATGGGTGCCAGTGTGTCCCACTACCCCACGAGGTGAATCTAAGCTTCATTCACATTTTTTGATGACAATGATCTGACCTGATGTCCGGGTGTGCCAAGCAGCTCGCCCCTCCCCCCAAAAGACTGCTGGTTCACAACTCACAAAACAGCTCTGAGCAGGGGAGGGGGCTCCTCTGGAAGTTTCCTCCCCAGCCTCCCAAGGATCTCAGCACAACCCGCTGGGGACAGCTGAGTCTCCTCTTCCCGTTAGAAGTGCTCTTCATACGTGGCATGTCTCCGAGGGAAGGTGGGCTGTGTCCCTGCCCCCTGCAGATGGCTGGTAGATTCGGGGGCAGTTGTTCAACTGGGTTTTCCCTGGGATTCCTGTGCTCAGGCTGGACCCTCCCACCGCCATTTCTGCCAGAAAGAAGTGGGGTCCCTAGACTTGGGGGAGCCACAGTTCTAAGGCCAGAGCTGTTACACAGTCCCTTCTGGCCCCCGACACTCGAGTAGCTCAAATGCCAGGGAGTGCCAAAGTTCCTTCCCTCCCCACTTGAACTGGTAAAAAGACAACTGGGAGGGTGGGACTGGCTGCTGAGAAAAGTCCTGGGTCTTTGGTCCACCTCCCCAGGGCAGGCCCTGGCGGACTGAAGAGTGGAACGTCGGTAGGTCAGGAGTCTGTAGTCCCCAGCCCTGAGCACGACCAGGGGCCCTGTTTGAGGCCTAAAGCACAGGCAAGAGAAACAAGGAGGGAGAGGGAGGGAGAGCTGCCTGTGGTGGGAACTTAGGGGGTGCCACTGAGACCAGCCCCAGGGGCGACTCACGGCACCTGCCCCAGACCAGTAACCCCTGAGCTAGGTAAGGAGAGGGGGAGCACCGGCTCAGTCCGCTCCCGGAACTGCTGGCTTCTGCCCGGGGCCCCCACACCGCAGGGCACAGGGAAGGAGCCTGCAGTGGGGGGGGAGGGCACACTCCGTGGCTCACTCAAAAGAACAAGGGCCAGAGGACTTCCTCTAGTGTCTCAGTGGCGTTCTCGGAGAACCCTCGCTTGGGCTGCGAGGCCTGGGAGACTGGTTTCTCAGCCACAGGCTTCAGGGCGGGAGAAGCTGGACCGGCGAGGCGGTGGAGCCGGGGAAGGGCGAGCAATCCTGCACAGGCTCCCCCTCTAGGCCTCACCCCGTCAGTCACGTTCTACTCTTACACCCTTGTTCTTGGGAGACCCCAAATTATTCTGGGGTGCTGTCAGACTCTCGGAGCTTTTCTCCCGGGCTCCGGAGAGGGAGGCTGAGGCTAGTCCCTGGCCTTTGGACGCCTTCTACAACCCAGAGAGGGAACAGGGGGGCTCGGAGAAAGGAATGGGGGCAGACATGAGCTGGGGGGTCAGTCCACTTTCTCCACGTTCAGACCACAAACCAAATATACTTGCCTCATTACAAAAAGAGAAAGAAAACTGGTATAAACCAAGATAAACAGCTTTTGAACATTCGAATGCCAAAGGAATTAGAGGGCTAAACCCAAGGTTTTGAAGATAGCACAGAGAATGACCTTTTAAAAAAAAAATCTAAAATCCACCCAACCACAGTTCAAATGTTTTGACCCAAACAACAATACTGTCAGAAAAACAAAAAGAGCATTTGAAACAGAACGCTACTCTCAAAATGTAAACAATATACCAAAAAAAAAAAAAAGAAAGAAAAACCTATAAAAACACAAAAACTCAATGTTAAAGAAGTTAGATACCTGGTAGCTCATCTTTAACTGATGGATTGTGTTACACTTTTCATACACACGATGGCAACAGGATCAGCAGCCCAAATGCAGGAAGCCGGCGGGAGCCCGAGGCTGGGGTGGCGACGGGAGCACAGCCCACCAAGCTCAGAAGATGCTGGGCCTCTTGAGGGGCAGATCTGAATTTTCATTCTTGATTAGGAGGTGGGGAAATCAAGTCCAAACATTATTCCTACGTAATCCCTTCCCAAGTCAGATCGATTTTCTCCATGAGCCTCTTGGTTCCAAGTTCTTCCCCAAGTCACTTGGTCTTGCCGCTGCAGTTCGGAGCTACCTGCGACCGCTTTCTGGAGCCAGGGCGGTTGTTTGACCTGTTTGCCTCTTCCAGAATGGTTCCAGCAGTCCCCGCGGGGTCCAAGAATGCTGCCTCCATTCCTCCCTGACCTAAAAGCTGCGGGTAGGGCCCAGAGATGGTGCTGGTTCCTGCTTCAGAAGCTGAGCTCGGCCAGGCTTGGAGGGAGCCACAGGAAACCAATCCATTCGTTCCAATGTTTCTATAAACTTCCTTCGCATCTGTGGGGTTATCTACAAGTTTTACCATATCTCAACCTAAATCCCCAGTTCCTGGTAAGGGGGTGAGAAGATGCAGAAATGTACCTCCCCCAACACAGGGCTGTTTCCTTCCTAGCCAGACCAGACTGCTCTGGTGGTGTCACAGGAGGGCACGTGGCTCAGTTCTGAGACCTGGGTCGCTCAGCAGCTGGGTGGAGGCCCTGAAGAAAGGTGCAGGATGCCACCCCTGGGGGAGCCCAGGGGGTGGCAGGTCTGCTAAAGGTCGAGACAGGGGCATCAAGGAAAACAGCCCCAAAGCCGGGGCCAGGTCGATCCCCCCATATCAAGCCTCCAAGCTGCATTTCCTGGGTCCCCTCCTCAAGTGACTCTGAAGCAACCTCAGGCTTGGGTGCCACCCTCCAAGGTGGGGGGGGGCGCACACCCTGCTGGCCACGACCGTCCAGGGAACAGACCACAGGCACAAGGTATCAGATCATCTACACGGTGACCCTGGCGCTTGAAGACATATCTCTGCAAGGAGGGCCCCAAGCATGTGGAGATGCGCCCCAGCGAAAAGCTCAAGTACAAGGGCGGGCACCTGGGCCAAGGTCAGAAGGAAGTAAATGGATGGAGGGCACAAGACCTCATTTGACACCCTGCAGCGTCTGGGGGTCCTGCTATCCATAAAGATGCTTCCTAGTTCCTCTTGACCCAGCGGGAGGCAGGCTTTATAGACAGGATGTGGCAAGGCCAGGGGCCAGGGGCATGGGTGATGTCCATGGGGTTCTGTGAGGACCAGCTGTCCAAGTGCCCAGCCTCGACCCCCACCCCCAACCATCCCGTGAGGATGAACTCACGCCCCTGGGCAATCTCTCCTCATCCAAGATGCCTGATGTTGATCTGGAGCGTTCCTTCGGGAGGACAGCATTTACATGGAGGAATCCAGTAACATTTCACTTGAATCCGAGGTGAAAAGGTGGAGGAAGTTGTACACAGTACTCCATAAAATTAAAAAAGTTAATCCAGACAAGACCCAATGTAGCAGGGCTGAGGTGTCTGACTTCCTCTCCTCTGGTATCAGAGCGCTTGGACCCTCGGCCGGGTCCTCGGGGCGCCTCTTTCATTGAAGGGAGCCCAGAGCAGGGCAGGGATGGGGAGGGTGATGGGGTGATGACATACATCATTATAAATAGCAAACCTGGAGCAATGAGATTGCAGAAACGAAACCCACATAAACCTACAAAGTCCTTTCTAGCCCCAAGGTATTGTAAAAAGTTACAAGGGAACAAAAAGGAAACCCCTTTTCAACCTGGGTCAAATGGGGGGAAAATCCAGGGTGAGCGGAAGGTGAGGTGCACCCTGTGAGTACGTGAGCACACAGCACCTCCCCTCCCCCCCCGCTAGTCTCTCCAACCTGGGCTGCCGGCTCCTCACCAAAGCCCTCCCCTCTGCTCCCCACCCTCCCATCCAGCCCAAATATACCCTCTCCCTTTTCCGACCCCGACCCCACATCGGGCTCTCTGGCTCTGGCTGAAGGTAGAAGGTAACTACGTCAGGATGTTGGACATGAACTCGTTGAAGCGTTTGGAGTACTGCTCAGGGTTCACAGTCGAGATCTCAGCCCCTGCCTGTAACACACAGAGGCCATGACTCAGGTCAAGCTCCTGGCCCTAACTGGGTGGCTACTGGGAGGCTCCAGCTGGGAGGAGCCTGGGGATTCAGGAGCCTCCAGTTCGGCGCAGGAGAGCAAGGCTACACCTCAGGCTGGGCAGGCCGTCTGGAGGAGCGGTTCCGTCTCAGAGTGGCCCTGGCCTCACTCCTCGGATTCACAACCCCGAGCGCGCGCCCCTTGAAGGAGCGGCAAGGTGGTGGGGAGGCAGGAGAGAGACTCGGGATCTCTGGGTGGGGTCCCTGTGTGGAGACAGGAGCTTCAAGTCCAAGGCGAAAAGGGTTCTCTGGGAAGGAGCGTGGGCAGGTAAACCAAGCTGTTACCTGCGGTCATGCCCAGCGGCCCTGGGGAAAGGAGCCAGCAAAGCAGGGGAAAATCGCCCGGCAGGGAGAGCGGTGGGGGTGCCCGGGGCGGGGGCAGGGGCGTCTCAGAGCAGGAGGCCCAGGGGCGACAGGGGGGACTCACCCCGTGCTTCACCGTCTTGGCAGCATGGGCGGCTTTCTTCTTCGCGTCGTACGGCGTGAGGATATCGATGATGGCCATGAAATAGACCTCCTTCTTGGGGGCACCTGGGGGGGGCAGGGGAGGAAGAGGGCAGGAACAGCCGGCCCGGAACCCTGCAGACCTGAGGCCCAGACCCACCGCTGGCGTCGTGGCCCTGAGGAAAGGAATGCTAATGGGCCCTTCTCAGAAGCCTCCAGAGCTCTTCTCTTGTTTGTGGACAGTCTTTCTCAGAGTTTAGAACCATGAAACCGGGCCGAGCCAAGCCTCCGCCTTCCAGGACAAGCAGAGAGGGGAAGGAAAGCCTGACAGAGGAGGGCCCCAGGGCCCCAGAAGCTAGAGTTCCTGGTGGCAGATCGGGAGGAGAGCCCGCAGGCAGAAGGCCAAAGTCAGCAGTGAATGGGGGGGGGGGAGCACCTAAACAATGGGCCTAAGGGGGTCGCACGGGGGGGGGGGGCAGGGGTGGGCAGGGCAGACACAGGCTCCTACTTACTTTCATGGCTTTTCATGGCATAGACGTCAACAGAGGGGTCGAACTCCCCGGGGCCAAAGAAGCGGGGGAAGCTGAGCAGGTTGCCCGGGCTGTCGGGAGGTGTGCCGTAGGAGCAGAGCAGGTTGCCTCCCAGCCCGTCGTTCTCGCACTCCTCGTCCTCAGCGCGCTCCTCCACCTCCATCTCCTCCTGCTCCGCCCGGTCCACGTCGTGGATGCCCACCAGCAGGCTGTAGTCCATGATCTTCAGCTGGGCCAGGAACTAGGGCAGGTGGGGAAGGAGAGATGGAGGAAGACGTTACGCGGGGCATGCCCGGGGGCATCTGGAAAGGGGAGAAAAGGCCCTCCCTTCAAGGCCATTCTCCAGTTCTCAAACACAGGCGAGAACAAGCCATCCAGGCTCTGCCTTCAGTGAGCTCAGGGTCCCGCGGGGAGGACGGCCACGCCCGAGGGCAAGGAGCTGTGGGAGGCCAGGGCAGGGGGCGGGGGACCTCCCTGGGGAGAGCAGCTGAGGCAGCCTGCGGATGGGGAACGGTCAGGCAGGCAGAAGCTGTGGCAGGAAAGCCGCGAGGAACCCCGAGGGAGGAGGCCCATTCGGTCTGGGATTGAGAGAGGCTGCGGCGAGTCGGAGCGAGGAGCGGGGCGCCGCGGTGCGCTGAGGCCAGCGTCCTTCGGACCACAGACATCACCCATCAGGGGCCCGAGATCTATGTCAGTAGGCTGGGGCCAGGATTTTTTTAATTATGAAATACAATGAAATAGAACAGAAAATGTGAGAGGTCATAGGAGAAAGGAGGTGGACAGTGGATCCGTTGTGTGCGCACGCTGGGCTGTGAGGTACAACGTGCCTCTGACGGACGGCCACAGGCAGAGCCCGAACCACCACGTACCAGCTCCCGTACCAGTCGGGGCAAGAACGGCGAGAAGAAGGAAAAGAAAAGGGAACAGCCCCTAAGAAAGAGCCAAGCGCCACTCGAACGTCTTCCCAGATGTCCGAAGTGGCGGGCGCAGGGCCGGCGTCCACACGAGCCTCCCGAGCGGGACGGTGTCTCGGGGCTCCTGGGCTGTGACTCTGTGACCTGAAGAACGAAAGCAAGGGGCTGACACAGGTGCAGCCGGCCAGCGGGAACTCCAGCTCCGTGAACCCCGAGGCCACAGTCGCTGGCGCAAACCCGGAGGGAAGCTGCCCGCAAGCACCGCGCAGCACGAGCCGGGCACTCTGCCGCGGTCGCCGGGAAACTGCCCGATGGAGCGCGGTGACCGGAGCGGCCCCACACACAGGCTCCTGGGCTTCTAAAAGCACAAGAAGCCCGATGATAGATCAGCAGCCTCTCCTCTAGAGAGAAAGGTGGGGGGCACCACACCAAGCACCTCTGGACGCGCCTTTCCCAAGGTCCAAGGAGAGGGGGGCCGAGGTCCCAGAAGAGAGAGAGTCCATGACCCAGACCCACTCCTACCCACCTGAGAACACCAAGAAAGCAAAGGCAAGTGAAAACAAGTGAAATGTGCAAACTGCCTTAACTTCCTCTCAGGAGAGTAGGGAGAAAGGGAGGACAGGAAGGCGCAGGACTCTGGGCAAACTGAGAGGCAGAACAAAGGCAGACAGAGCAGGCGGTGATGAAGGAAAAGCTTCCTAGGAAAGAAAGCCGTTCGTAAAGCCCATGTGCACAGCCACACTCTTCACAGTGAATCGATCCAAGTGCGATGGTTAATTTTTGGTGCCCGGACATCTGGTCAGCTATTATTCTGGGTGCATCTGTGAAGGTGTTTGTAGATGAGATTAACATGCGAGTTGGCAAAAGGAGTAAAGCAGACTGCTTTCCCTAATGTGGGTGGGCCTCATCCAATCAACTGAAGGCCTGAGCAGAACAAAAAGGGTGACCCTCCTGTGAGTAAAAGCGGATCCTCCTGCCCGAGTCCCTCTGAGCTAGAACATCAGTTTCTTCCTGCCTTCAGATATGAACTAAACATTGGCCCTTCCGAGGTCTTGAGCCCACTGGCCTCCAGACTGAAACTATACCATCTGCCCTCCTGGGTCTCTCTAGCACGCCGACTGCAGCTCTTGGGAACATCAGCCTCCATAACTGTGGAGGCCAATTCCTTATACTAAACACCTGGCTGTCTGTCTAACTACTGACCCATCCAGCCAGCCAGCCATCGGCACCATCTACTGGTTCTGTTTCTTTCTTTTTTTTTTTTAAAGATTTTATTTATTTGACAGAGAGAGATAGCAAGAGAGGGAACACAAGCACCGGGAGCTGGAGAGGGAGAAGCAGAATCCCCACTGAGGAGGGAGCCCGATGTGGGGCTCAATCCCAAGACCCCGGGACCACAACCCGAGCCAAAGGCAGACACCCAATGACTGAGCCACCCAGGCGCCCTGCTATTGGTTCTGTTTCTCTGGAAAATCTTTTTTTTTTTTTTTTTAATATTTTATTTATTTATTCATGAGAGACAGAGGGAGAGAGAGAGAGAGAGAGAGGGAGAGAAGCAGAGGGAGAAGCAGGCTCCCAAGGAGCAGGGAGCCCGATGCGGGACTCGATCCCAGGACCCTGGGATCATGACCTGAGCCGAAGGCAGACGCTTAACCATCTGAGCCACCCAGGCGCCCTGTTTCTCTGGAAAATCTTAACTATTATACCAGTTGCGCTTTGATGGAAAAACGGGTAAACACACAATGGAATATTATTCAACCTTAAAAGAGAAGGCCATTCTGACACATGCTACAATACACATGAACCTTGAAGACATTATGGTAAGTGAAAAAAGCCTGACATGAAAGACAAATACTATATGATTCCACTTATATATAAAGTACTTAGAATAGTCCAGTTCACAGAGACGGAAAGTAGCGTGGTGGTTGCCAGGGGCTTAGGGAGAAGGGGAGTGGGGAATAGTATGTAATCGTTTCAGTTTAGGAAGATGAAAAGTTCTGGAGATGGATGGTGGCAATGGCCACACAACAGGGTGAATGTACTTAATGCCACTGAGCTGTGCATTTTTCAAACAGTTAAGATGGTAAATTTTATGTTATGTATATTTTACCCCAATAAAAAAAATAAGAAAACACTTCTAAAAGTCTATAGGGGTTTGGTTTTAATGAATAGGCTCCCAATTTATTAAAATAGGAGACACTGAGTTATCAAGTGGTCCAGGTAACACATTCACTATTTAGCACCTGTCCTCCCCGGACGAACTTCTCCACGGGAAGTCCATTCCACCAGAAGGCTGCCAGGTAAAGTGAGGAATCGGAGCCAGAGAAGGGCCTGGCTGGTGGATCTTACAGCTGCCTTCCCACTGCTCTGATGGCCGACACCCCCCACCCATGAAGGGGACACTTCCAGAAAGGAAGTTTAGGGGCGTTTGAAGAAGGTGTTGGAATAGACTAGTGAAGAGATCAAGGAAAGCATTCCAACCTGAGCTACAAAGACTCTACTGGCACAGACGTGTCCCAGTGATGGAATCCTCATTTGCACCCACACTGCTCAAATCACCAGCCTTCCTTTCCAGGGATGTGGGAAGTAGTGAATTCAATTTTTCTTTTCTTTTTTTTTAAAGATCTTATTTTTGGGGGCTCAAACTCACAACCCCGAGATCGAGAGTCATATGCTCCTCCGACTGAGCCAGCCAGACACCCTGTGAACTCAATTTTTCTTAAGGTTAAAGAGGCTCCTGCTCTGAGGACAAGAGGGGGCCCTCCTCAACCAAGGTGAAAATGAGGGTTAGTAAGTACCTCTACGTCCCGCCTCAGTTTTTCCAGGAAGTTCTTTTTACTTTCCTCTCCCACATGCAGCTTCTGCCCTTCGTTGAGGAAGTCGTTGTCTTTGAATGTTGGCAAGTCCTTGGCCTGGGAGAGCAACAGCAGTGTTAGGCTGGGTGGCCCAATACATTCACCCCAAGAGGTGACGGCACAAAAAGGGGAAGGGTCCTTAGAACACAGACGGTCGACCTGTCAAATCCAGGTTCAGCACAGGAGGCTGCAGTCCCAGCTTCGGGAGGCAGGGATGGCAACTATGTGGCTTACATCAGACCGGGAGGACAGACCAAAGGCATGTCTTCCTGCTGAGCCTGGGCTACCTCGGGGCTCAGGCAGCCACGGCCCGATTGAGGCTGGCCCATGAGACAGAAGTCACCAGCCCTGCAGGACTGTGGACAGCTGGCAAAGGCTGGAGAGCGCGGCCGAGGCCAGGCGGGTGCTCAGTGACACAGCCCGACAGAGGGGACAGAGGGCGTAAGTGGGAACCAGGCTAGGGGCTGTGGTGGAGGAAGGGCCAGGAAGACCAACAGAAGGTGATTCCAAGTGGCCCAGGCCACACTCCATCAGTCCGGGTCCCCGCATACCTTCTCCTTGTCACTGGCTTCTCTGGCGACAGTAGAGCCCTGCAAGGGTAAGAGCCGTCAGGGGAGGTCCAGCTGAGGCAAAGTCCGCTGAGCGAGAAAACATGCACCCGTCTTTGGGGAGAGGCAGCAGGTGAACTGAAGGAGGCTGGTTAGAACCTTCGAGGGGCCCGGAGGCAGCAACTCGTTCACGTCCTCTGTCACAGACCACTGACGGAGCTCTGCTTAGACACGAGGCTCTCGCGCAGCCAACAGGACTGTACCAAGACTCAGTCCCTGCCCTCAGGGGACTTGCCTCCCAACAGGGGAGCCAGGCATTAACAAGTGGTCACACGATTAACCCGTTAACTACACTGGTGCTAGGTGGGACAGGGGAGGAGGACACGCTGAGCGCAGGTGGCACAGGGGCGGCGATCCAGGCCGGCTTCCTGCAGGAAGTGACACCCGAGCCGGGCAGGAAGTAACTGGGTGACAGAAGGCGGAGAGGGAGAAAAGAGCAGGCAGGGAAGAGGCCGGGCGGCCGTGAGAGGTACTGGGGCGGAGCAGAGCCCGGACCGTGTGGGAACGGACCCTGTGGCTGCAGCGGGGAGGGAGCCAGGGGTGTGAGCTGACGAGTCAGGAAGCCGGCTTCGAGAACAGCGGAGCACTGTGGCTCCCAGGCACAAGCATGCTCCTTTCTGTGTCTAGAAACGTGTGTGTCCTGGACACATGCCAGAGGGCGTGCGTCAGCACGGCCTGTCCCCAGACGGCCGCCCCCGGAGTGCACATGCCCCCAACGGGAGCTGAAGAACACCGACGGTGACATAAATACGGCACATTAAATAACCTCTCGTCCCTGTCACCTGGACTTCCAACAGCCTCTGACCCAGAGGAATTAGGCACATCAACTCCAGAGTCCTGACTGTGCCGAAACCTACGCTCCAGGGGTTTCCCGTTGTGCGGGAGCCTGAGGGAGGGCAGCCACAGAACTGTGGGCCACAGAGCCCTTTACCTTGAGGTCGTACTTGCGGTGAACAGTGAGCCGGTGGCTGAACACATTCCTGGTGACCACCATGTACGTCTCCACGCCGTCCACGGTCAAGCGGTACATGCCCAGGAACTGCGGCAGAAGGGTGTTGCCGTGACACTCCACTATGAACTAGAGTGAAGGGAGGAAGGACGGGTGGCTAAGGAAGGAATGAAGACGCCGGGACGGCCAGGGGAGTCCCCCCACCCCAGGCTCAAACGCTCCCGGGGAGTCGAGCCTCCAGGCCAGATGGGTCCTGTGAAGTCATGGGGCTTCCTCGGACTTAAGAGAGGCCGTGGCCACCCCCGCCCCCAGCTGGCCGGGCAGAGTGAGAGGCTGGGCGGGCCGCGCAGGGCCCCTTTGGCCTCGTGTTACTGGGTGGCCCCTGAAACTTCCGTCTGAAACAGAATCACTGAGGCAGGCCTGCGAGTGGGTTGTAGGGAAAGAGCGGCTCCCTCCTTGCCAGGAGTCCCTAGCCATGCGGCACCCCGGGGGTTCTGCTGTAGCCCCAAAGACCAGAAGTCCCTTTCACTACCTCCCGGTGCCCCAGAGAGAAGGCAGCGTTCCCTGAAGGCCCAGGCACTAGGCCCGGCGCTCGGATGCTGCTACCGCACTCCCTGCTTCCCTCCAGGACAGCGTCCCGGGGCACGGAGAGCCCGGATGGGAAAGGAAGCGACCCTACCCAGACCACGGGACCTCTTTTGGAAGAGATGCAGCAGGTGCCAGAGGGGGCAACTTCCCGACTCTTGACAAGAAATAGCTGTTCCACGGGGACTGAGTAAGCAACATGCCTTCATTTCTCCTTTTTCCCTTTTTGCAACAGGCATTTGAACTCTGCACCCGGCCCCGGGGAAGGCCAAGTGCTCGGTTCTCAGGAGGCGGCGGCTGCTGCGAGAGGACCCATCCCTCCCCAGGAAGCTGCCCAGGGGCTCTCTCCTCCCTCCGGCCACCCGTCCTCTACCGCCCAGGCTCGGGACTCACCATACCTGGTGGTATTTCTTTAAGATGTTGTGCATCTCGGCCACATCCTCACTTGACACGGTCTTGATGACAAAGCGCCGGTCATAGGTGGTGAGGAAGCGTGTGCCACAGCGGCCCTGGCTGTCGCTGTTGATGGGGGCACTGCGCGTCACTGAGTTCTGAGGGACCAAGACAAAAGCAGGCTGGTCTTGGGAGAGGAACAAGGGCTCTGACCTTTCCTTGGGCCAACCACGCTGAGACAGGCAGGACCTGACGCACCCCTGGTGTCATGGGAAGTTCACTTCTCTCCCACAGGTCTTCCTGGAGAGTGACAAGAGTTGCTCCTGACCACCTGCTCCTAATCCCTGACTGGAGGGGCAGTGGGCCAGCTGCACAATGTTTCCTTTCCTTCTGACCTGAGACCTACTCTGTCCACGAAATCCCTGCCTCAGACGTTAGGGCTGGGCCCTGACCTGACGCCTACAGGTGACCTGACCTTGGGTGAGCCATTTCACTTCTCCACTCCTGAATTTCCTGACCTGGAACACAAGGAGGCAGTTCAAGATGGTTTTCCCAGTTTCCTGGGGTGACAAAGACAAAGCCTAGGGAATATTCAAGAAGTCCAGCATGAAGCAGCAACGGACAGTCATCTCTTTTCCCTGAACATACCCTGGTGCTGGAAAACCCTTCCCACAGCAGGCAGGGGTTCCTCGCCTCTCTGCCCAGCCCCTCTCCCCTCACCTCAAACTCCTGCTTGTCTGTGCAGAGCTATGAGGCAGTTCTGGGGAGGTTTTCTGGCTCTGCCAATGCTCCTCCTCGAGGCCCCATTCCCATTAGGATCAGAGAGCAAAAGCCTCTAGAGGGGGTGGAGGGGGAGGTGTGAGTCAACTAAAGGGATGTGTTCACCAAGCAGACACCAGGAGAAGACCTTTGAAAGGCAAGGCAGAGAGGAGGCCCCAGCTGTCCCTGTTCCCAAGCAGACACATGTGGGGATCTGCTGGCAGAAATGCCTACTCTCCAAGCCCCTTCCTCGGCTGTTATCTAGGATTCGATGCTCTGCCCTCACCCAGTGCCTCCTCACAAGACCCTAGGGGAAAGAGAGAGCGCCACCTTCGTGGGGAAGACTCAAGTCTGAAGTGGTGAGATGCTCTCTAAATTAAAAGGGCACCCCCAAAACAAGGTGCCCCCAATCCAGAAATGTTGAGTAGGCTCCACAGCGGAGGGCCTCACTCCCCCAGCCCAGTTCTCCTTCTGGGAAGACGAGCAGGCCCCACGCTCCCATCCCTGCCTCGTTTCCAGGCAGTGTGCTCTGACACTCTACACGGTTAGTCCCCTCCCTGAACACCACATGTCGTGAGCACAATCACTTGCCCACAAGGTTATGAGAGAAAAAACGCAGACACGGAGAGGATGTGGTTAGAGCGCCGACGGGAAGGGAAGGAGCCACAGCGGAAGGAAGGTGTCCGAGCAATCTGGGGCTGCAACAGTGGCCAAAGTTTTTAGAAAACCTCCAGCTCCAATCAGATCCTGATTTAGCTCAGGGTTTGGTCCTAACAGAGGGGGCTGGAGGCACCTCCCAGTACCTCTCAGGCACAGCCGTTCTGGAGCCTTCCGTCCCTGGCATCTCCTCCTCCGGCATCCCTGCGCCCTCCTCTTGGGGATGGCATCTTTGCAGGCCGCCCTCCAGAGTGGACAGGAGAGGAGTGGGGCCTCACCCAGGTGCATCCTGCTCCTCAGGAACTACTCCATGAAAGGCTTACTAGGACCTGGCCTGGAGGGGTTACGGTATTTTAAAAGATTTGGACATCCATTTTAGATTTCACCAGGCTGTACGCTCCTTCCCCACCCCGCCCCCAGACAACTGCAAGTCAGCTGTATTTCTTACTGCTAGCAAAGTGAAGTGGAAAATTCTCCCACCGTCACCAGCAGGCTGTCTGCCAGGGGCAGAAGGTCCGCGGAAGGTGCTAGGTGGAGCAGTAGGAGAAACCACAGACTAGGAGTCAGACTGTGACGTCCCTGAGCCCGGGACAATCGCTCCCAGCAGGCTGCAGGCGGGTTACCAGCCCCGGCCGCGCCGGTGCCCTTCCCACAGCAGCCGGACCACAGAGGCGGCAGCGCACGTACCTGCCAAGGTTACACTACCCTCCGAGGCTTTCTTTTCTACTCTGCCTTACCTGCTTTAAGAGGCCTCATCACCCGCCGGCAACAACTCGCTCTTTTAAGTCAAACTACAGAGGAGACGGGTTCTTGGGCCTAGACTGGGAATGTCAGACTGAGGTGAAGGGGCTTCCACAGCCCCTCGCCCTCCCAGGGAGAGAAGCCTGAGTCTGCCTGCAGCTTCAGAAGCACTTAGCACTTCCAGGGCCCCGAGCCCTGCAGGAGCCTGCTGGCAACCTGGGAGAGACCACCCAGCTGGAGCAGGACAGGACAGGAAGACAGAGCTCAGGAACAGGAGACTTTCCTCTCCATGTCTCCGGTGGCCTCCTAACCCCACTCCACTCCCTGACCCCTCCGACTCTACAAAGACACTCCGTACCTGGTAATCCTGATCATCAATCCCAAACCTCTCCCGGAGATTCCGGAACACCATGGGGCAGTACTCCTTAAACTTGAAGCGGCTGGGGAGGTTCTCCCTAGGGCAAAGCAGAGAAATGTCTTCGTGAGCCCTTCCTTGCCCATCTAATTCTTCAACAGAACTTCCCTGGGTTTGGGCCACAGGGCACCGGGACCTGAACAATCTGCGGCGCTCAGAATGTAGGTTTCTAGGCCCCAGGAATTCTGGAGAGGAGTCTGGAGTATTTAACAAACACTCCTGGTGATGCTGAGCGTGTAAGAGTTTTAAAACTTTACATTGCCGTGTTCATCTTGTAAAAATGAGTCAAGCTGTATCCTTACAATTTATATACTTTTTCTAAGGGTGTGTTCTCTTTTGACAAAATTTACATGAAAGGGGAAAGCCTCACGTGCTGAGAAGCGAACCGGAGCGTCGGCTGCACTGCACAAGGGCTGTGCTTGCACACGGGAGTGACTGCGTGTGCATGGTTGGTGTGAGGCGGCCGGCAGGCTGATGGCTAAAAGGAGCGGCCTTTCTCAACCAAGGCACCCTCTCCTCTGAGGACACTTCTACCAACACGTCCTGAAGATGGCCACATCTGGGAAGCCCTGGGCTTCCCCCGGGATGGAGGACGAGGGTGCTTTGGATTGAAGACGTCCTCCGTCAGCTGACCGGGATCCCATCTTTTCGGGAAGCCTTGTCTGTGGGCTGCTAGTACCAATCTCCACCCTCCCCACTCCCTGGTCAATAAGCCACAGACTCCCAGGAGGGGACAGAGTTGCCATGAAGGGAGGCCATCTCCACATCCTCCATCTTTACAATGGTCCCCTTGCTTGGGAACTGACTTTGAAAAATCCGTGCCCCTGACTACACTCCAGGATGACACACTTGGAGGAAACAAACAGCAGTGGCTTCTCCTGCAGGCAGGGGCCTCCTCTGCCTCCTGTCCCCTTCTTCTAGTAAAAGGCACCACAGTCTAACAATCAGCACATCAACAGTTATTGAAAGGACAAAAGGAATAAAGAAAGATCAAAGAAGAGATTGGATGCTCTGCTTTAGGCCAAGATGTCAAGGTGGTGGAACTTCACCAGAGGCCATGGACCCTGAAATAGGCAGTGGTGCGGTGCCCCCTTCCAGAGCCCTGAGCCCTCGGACAGAGCCACCTCCTTTCCTGCCACAGGGCCAAGGGCTGCTTCTCCCTCCTTAGGGAGTGTGATGTTGTGACATATTTGGTCTTTGTTCCTGTTTCAGGCACAGAGCAACTAAAACCCTTGGAATTTCTGAAATCATAAGAGCAATAAATATGTCTTTTTTTTTTTTTATTCATAACAAGCCCCTTTCAGCCACATCTGAGTTTACGTTAATAAGGTGACTTTTAGGGCGCCTGGGTGGCTCAGTTGGTTAAGCGACTGCCTTCGGCTCAGGTCATGATCCTGGAGTCCCGGGATCGAGTCCCACATCGGGCTCCCTGCTCAGGGGGGAGTCTGCTTCTCCCTCTGACCCTCTTCCCTCTCATGCTCTCTATCTCTCATTCTCTCTCTCTCAAATAAATAAAATCTTAAAAAAAAAAAATAATAAGGTGACTTTTAGAAGGGGGGGGTGCCTGGGTGGCTCAGTTGGTTAAGCATCTGCCTCTTGATCTCAGCTCCGGTCTTGATCTCAGAGGTTGTAAGTTCAAGCCCCACGCTGGACTCCACACTGGGCATGGAGCCTACTTAAAAAAAAAAAAAGTGACTTTTGGAAAGCCTCAAAGGATGGGTTGCTGGTTGCCAGGGGAACCAACCAGGATGAGAGGGTTGGAACGTTCAGTCCCACTCCCCTGACCTGCAGGGAGGGGAGAGCGGCTGGAGATTGAACCCATCACCAATTGCCACTGGTTCATCAATCATGCCTTTGCAAGGAAGGTGGTACTCAAGAGCTTCCAGGCTGTTGAACAGGTGCAGGTGTGGGGAGGGTGGTGCACCCGGAAAGGTTGTTCCTGAGTTGTATCCTTTATAATAAACCAGTAAGCAAGTAAATAAACTGCTTTCCCAAGGTCTGTGAGCCACTCTAGCAAATTAACCGAACCCAAGAGGGAGGGTCGTGGGAATGTGGGATCCACAGTAGGCTGGTCACTAACACAGGTGACAACCTAGACTTGCGATTGGCACCTGAAGGCAGGGGGGCAGCTTCGTGGAACGGAACCTGCGGGGCCCGATGCTAAGTCCAGGTAGACAGTGTCAGCTGCATTGGCAGGACACCCCGCTGTCCCACAGAACTGCCCCACGTGTGGAAAACCCAGGGAAGTGAAATGTGTGTGGTAGCAGTGTGAGAGCAAAGCAGAAACACAGGAGTTTTTCTTCTACACAGTGGCTGCTTAGCTCTGAAGACAAATGGCTTCTAGAATAAAATGTTGTTATTACATACTATGGCAGAGAGAGGCCACTAAGGGATATTTTCAAACCAAGCCTCCCCTCCAGGCTAACAGTCTGGCAATGGTGGGGTGACAGAGCCCAGCTGGAGGAAGGGTGCCGGGGACCGTGGGACCCCGGGATGCGAGCACAGAAAGGAGGGTGTGGGCAGCAAGCTCTTCCCGGGGTGGCCCACAGTAGGCTGAAAAAGCAAGGCCTCCCAAGGGCTTAGAGCAGGCCCCACCCTGCACCAGGTGAAACGGCTGCTTCAACCCTTCAGACACTAGCGTTAGTCCCAGAAGCTACAATGAACAAAAGTGGGAGCAATTACTTCGGATGGTGCCCTTGGGCACCATGCTCAGCCTGTGGCTCACACACCCGTCAGGAGACAGAAGAGCTGCATCCCGGGCCAGGAACATGTCTGGCAGCTTCTCTGCTATCTAACCTGGCCCCAGATGAATCACCCTGGGCCAGGCCACACGCCCCGAGGGACCCTGGAGGTAGGCAGATAAAGGAGATGACAGAATGACACAAAGGGGAGAGGCACATAATGAATGCATTTTCCCAGCCAGTTTGTCAGCTGGGAGATCCAGGTGTCGCTGTCACACCCTGCCAGGTGCCGACCACTACCATGCGCAAGTTTTCAGAAGCTCTCCGCCTTGAGGGAAAGGACTGCCCACAAAACCTGAGCCCACTCAGGAGGCCACTTACTTATTGAAGAGATGATTGTCCACCTTGATCTTGCTGTATGCTTTGAAGTCATCTGGCATTAGCATGACAGGCACAGGGACATTGCTCAGCTCATTGATCTGCAAAGCAAGGGGAAAGTGAGGTTCTCCGCGGGTAGGCCACGGGCCTCAGACACAAGACACTACAACGTGAATGCCACCATCTCACCAAAAAAAGCATGTCCACGGATTCCCTCCTTGTCTTTCTGCTCTTCTCTTCAAAGAAGCTCCCAACCTCATCTCCACCTATTGAAATTCTCCCAACCTGATAAATTCCAGCTCAAAAGGCACCTACTCCATGAAGCTTTCCATGATTCTCTAGACCATAAATGTTCTCCCTCTGGAATTTCTTTTTTTTTTTTAAGATTTATTTATTTATTTGAGAGATCGAGAGAGTACATGAGATGGGGGAGGGTTAAAGGGAGAAGCAGGCTCCCCACTGAGCAGGAAGCCCGATGTGGGACTCGATCCGGGGACTCCAGGATCATGACCTGAGCCGAAGGCAGTCACTTAACCAACTGAGCCACCCAGGCGCCCCTCACTCTGGAATTTCTTAAGTAGTGTTTGTATCCATCCTTTGGCCATCACACAGCCTCCCTCACGTTGTAGTTAATGCTTATCAACCTCACAAGCTTGCTAGACTATAAGTGAGCCAAGATCGTATTACTGATCCTTGTAAGCAAAGGTCATCTAACTGATCTTTGGAGGCTCCACAGTGCTTGGCCCCGTGATTGGCATATGGCAGGTACTACATAAATATTGGTCAAATGTAGCAATAAGTGGATCAATGAATAAACATAACACAACCTATGTGGGTCCTGAGGCCTTTAACATTTTCACACAAATTGTGGGTCACTCAAGATGTTGGGTTGGGGTAGGAAACAAAGCTGGATGAGTTTGTGTAGGTGTATAACTCATCTCCAAAGTGAAGAATTAAATTTAAAGCAAGAAGAGCTAGGCATCTGGCCACTGGCTCACTCTTTCCCTCCTGATTAAAACAGGGCCAGCTCCTTAAGCCATGTCCTGCCTTAGGCTGAACTGGACGAGACGGGGTAGGGTGCCTTGCCCCACTGCAAACAAACCTTCCCATTGGCTTTCACCCCCCTTCAGGGAGCTGGAGGCTGACAGGGGGCTGGCGTCCCATTGGCACCAAGCTGAGAGCAAGCATCCTGCCCTTCCCTGTCCCCAGCTTAGCCAATTAGCGGTCTAATTAGCCACAGATGTCCTCTCCCTTCACAGTGGAGTATTTGACATTTGACCCTCAACCCAGTGGCCACTAATGGATTCAGGATTTACAGAGGAAACCCTAGGTCTGCCTTAATGAATAGGGGGGAGGGGACGCACAGCCTTATGTCTCCCAGAGACTTTCCTTGCAAATCCTATTATCTCAATGAGGCCCATGTGGTAGTGAGGGAATAACCGAGACTCATTAGGAGCATAAATGGGGGGAAACAGCATTTAATTTGCTGCCCCTTTCATGCTCCAAACCTTTTTTATGTGGAAATGTCAGAGGATGGAATAAGTTCGAGTTAACGCAGTATCTGGGCTGGGGAACCACACTTTTCCTAGAATTGCTGAAAAAACTAATTTGCTCCCATGGAAGTGAAGGCAGACACAGGCGTGTATATGGCTGGGGAGGGGGACGGCAGGGTATCAGCAAAGTTGGCAGTGTGGCAGGGACTCAATAAACTGCTGGCAGAAACTGACGGGCATAGACACCAGAGTATATCCTGCATGAGTCCATTTATATGAAATCCTACAGGATTTCAGGTGGCTCAGAACAGGAATCTACAGTGAAAGCAATCCAGTAAGAAGCTGCCTGGGTTGGCCGAGGGAAGTTGATTATAAAGGGACACGAGAGGTATGATTCTGGGGTGACAGAAGTGTTCTATGTATTGTTTGCGGTGATAATTATGTGACCAAATATACATTTGTTGAAACTCATCAAACTGGACACTGAAAATCCCCAGCATCCAGGTCTGTGATAGCCACCACACTGGCTTACCAGCCACATGACAAAAGCCACACCAACCCCCATCCAGGGGGTGCTCACAGGGAACCTGACTGTGAAGTGTGTGCCTATGGAGGAAACCATTCCACTTCCTGGTTTTCCTGCCAACAGAAACAATTCATGGGCGCTGTCCCACTTCCTTTTTCCTGGCATATATTGCTTGGCTCGGACAGTTGAGGAAGTTAAGACGTTCACCGTTCTTGAGTCATCCCACCTTGCCTAGTTCACACCTCCACACTAGAAAGAACACACCGCACTGGCTCAGAGAGCATGGTTTTATACCAGAATGTTCTAGGACGTACTACTCGTTGACTCTGCGTTAGTCTAAAATCCAGATTTGATGCCAAGACCAAGGCACCAAATGCTGGGATGACTAGGAAAGACTGAAGCCCTTGCCTGACAGGGTCAGCTATCCTGGGCCAGGGTGAATTTTTCTAACGGCAGCTATTCAAGAACGCTCTATTCGTTAATTCTCTGTAACTTCTGGTTCAGCCTACTTCGAATGGTTATAAGTTGGCAGGTTTTTAGTTCTCCCTTCATCTCTTTTCTTGACTACACAACCCAAGAGCAGGAAATTTCTGAGAGAACCCATATATATGAACTCTGTAGGCTCACCCCTCATTTCCGCTGGGCCCCATGCAGATGATTCACTCTAGGGACTAGCTGTACTATTTTTTTTTTGGTTGTGCTAAATTTTATAGCCCCAGAGAGTTCTACTCAATTTCAATTGAACAAGCATTTACTGAGATACCTGCTACATGCTGTACTTCATGTTAGGGAGGAGGGGGCACACGAAGGGGGGTGTGCACACAGTGCACACAAGAGGAGAAGGCTTATTCTCTTATTGGGGAGATGAGACAAACCCATGACACAGAGAAACTCAAAGTCAAGTGGTATACACGTAGTGCGAACACAGGGGCAGAGACATCAAGAACAGCAGAGGCTCAGAGGGTGAGGTTAATACGGTCACAAAGACTCCTGGCCCTCACACATCAGGCTAGAAACAGGGCACCTCATGCCTCTCCTGGTATTGCCAAGAGCACTTGACACTGGAAGAATCTACAAGATCATGTTACATCCCCACTTAAGTTGAACCTCAGGGTAAAGTTTTACCTCTTTAGCCTGGCACTGAAGGCCTTTCCTGACCTGGCTCAGGCGCTGCCAAACTCCTAATCAGTTTACTTCTGCCCAGTGTATTGAGGGCCTTACTATTATGACAGGACAGTGCCAGAGCTGGGGATACAAAAATGAGAAGACATGGGCTCTGTCCAGCTGGGAAAACAGACAGCAAAGAATACAATTTGATGAGTGCTATGGAGTTATAAATAAAGGGGGGGGGAACATGAAGAAATGGGTGCTGCGTGGGGGTGGGAGTCAGAGAGCCGCTTGCCAGAGGAAGCTGAAGAGAAATAAATACATGTCAGAAAGGCCTAGGATCGGGGTATGGTGGCTCAGTCATTAAGCGTCTGCCTTCGGCTCAGGTCATGATCCCAGGGTCCTGAGATGGAGTCTCACATCAGGCTCCTTGCTCAGCAGGGAGCCTGCTTCTTCCCCTGCCTACAGCTCCCCCTGCTTGTGCTCTCTCTCTCTCTCTCGCTCTGACAAATAAATAAGATCTTTAAAAAAAAAAAAGTTTTGAAGCATGAAAGGTCATGACTAAAGCAATGTTCTAGGAAGATGTGCCTGTCCTCGACTATCTAGCACAATCCTGGGCCGACCCCTCTTCCCTTCAGCACAAGTGCACTTGTAGAATGCATATTCATTCAAGTATCACGCTAAATACAACATATTCGTATGGGAAATCTGCTGTATCTCACGTCACGTAAATAGTTTTTGGATTAACCACACGATTAACTCCAGGAGCCATCAGCATAAATAATGAGGCTACACAAGCTGAGTGAGAAATTTAGGCGCAGAGAATTCACTCTGTGCTGATCCTACTGGAGATGAAAATTCAGCCACTAGTTCTAGTCTGCTGAACTCTGATTCCAGAAGCCTCTACTTCCCTGTGTGACCTTCCTAGGAACCGAGGAGGCGTGGGCAGGGCATGCAGGTTTCTTGACTTGTCCTGCGGTTCTGTGGGTGGCGCAGCAGTTAGCTGGCTAGCACTGACAATCAGGTGTTACCTGCCGCCATCAGAAAACATGATGAGTTGAAAAACCCCAAGACCGAGGAAGTCCAAGTAAGACCTCAAACTAGAGAGGAAAAGGGCAAGAACAGAGCCACAGGTGCCAACAAATTCACTCCTATGTTTAGTCCTCCTTTTTTATACCATGGTTTTTCTTCTCTTCCTGTTCTCCGTGAGGTGGGAAGGCCTGGCCGAGGGCAAATTTATCCAAAGGCCCCACTAGAGCAGGAATACTTACTAAAGAGTTTTAAAGTCACAGAGCAAGAGAAAAAGGCAGGTAAAAGAGGCTCTGGGTCTGCATTAAGCAAAGAAAATGCATGGACAGCATGGGGGTGGAGTGTGGGAGAGAAATGAACAGACTTAAGAATGAATCTGTTCCTTACACCATACACAAAAATTAATTCAAAATGGATTACAGACCTAAATGTAAGAGCTAAAAGTGTAAGAGTTTGGGGCACCTGGGTGGCTCAGTCAGTTAAGCATCTGCCTTTGGCTCAGGTCATGATCTCAGGGTCCTGGGATCGAGCCCCATGTCAGGCTCCCTGCCTAGCAGGGAGTGTGCTTCTCCCTTTCCCTCTGCCCCTCCCCCCTCGTTCTCTCTCTCCCCATAAATAAATAAAATCTTAAAAAAACAACAACTATGAGAGTTTTTCTTAGAAGAAAAAATAGGAGTAACTTTTCATGACCTTGTGTGAGGCAAAGCCTTCTTAGAAATGACACCAAAAGTGCAAGCAAAGAAAATACATAAATTGTACTTTATCAAAATTAAAAACCTGAGCTTCAAAAGATACCATCAAGAAAGTGTAAATGATAATCCAAAGAATGGGAGAAAATACTTGCAAATCATATATCTGATAAGGGACTTGTACCTAAAATATATAAAGAACTCTTGGGCACCTGGGTGGCTCAGATGGTTAAGCATCTGCCTTTGGCTCAGGTCATGATCCCAGGGTCCTAGAATCGAGTCCTGCATCGGGCTCTCCGCTCAGCGGGGAGCCTGCTTCTTGCTCTGCCTCTCTCTCTCTGTCTCTTATGAATAAATAAATAAAATCTTGAAAAAAAAAAGAACTCTTTATAATTCAAGGGGTACCTGGGTGGCTCAGTCTGTTAAGTGTCTGCCTTCAGTTCAGGTCATGTCTCAGGGTCCCAGGATCAAGCTCCCTTGTCTCCCTGCTCAGCAAGGAGTCTGTTTCTCCCTCTCCTTCTCCCTCTCTTTCTCCCTGTGCCCTCCACGCCCCCATCTCATGCTCACACGCGCTCTCTCTCTCTCTCTCAAAAAAAAAGAACTGTTATAACTCAATAATGAAAAGACAACCCAATTAAAAATGGACAAAAATGTTTTTTAAAAATGGACAAAGATCTTAACAGATATTTCTCTGATGGAAATACATAAATGGCCCAGGCGCCTGGGTGGCTCAGTCAGTTGAGCATCTGCCTTCGGCTCAGGCAATTCCAGAGTCCTGGGATTGAGCCCCACGTCCGGCTCCCTATTCAGCAGGAAGCCTGCTTCTCCTTCTCCCTCTGCCCTTCCCCCTGCTTATGCTCTTGCTCTCTCTGTCAAATAAATAAATAAAATCTTAAAAAAAAGAAAATATATAAATAGCCAATAAGCACATGAAAAGATACTCAACACCATTAGCTATCAAGAAAACACAAATCATAATCACAATGACATAACACTTCGCACCCACCACGGTGGCTATGATAAAAAAGACAGATAATCCCAAGTGTTGACAAGGATGTGGAGAAATTGGAACCCCCCACACCCTGCTGGTGAAATGTACAATGGTGTAGTCACTTTGAAGAACAGTCTAGCAGGTTCCTACATGGTTAAATATAGTTACCGCCAACTGCTCCTAACCCTTGTGATCACCTGAGTAAAGCTTCACGAATACCTGGTTCCTAAAATGGCCAACAGGTCATCAAGTCAGGTCGGCCTCCTCTGGTCTCCACACCCCTCTCCAAGGCAATCTTCTCTACCTCCAAACTGTATTTCATCCACTAAAATACTGGGGTTCTCTCTTTACTAGTTTTCCCCTGACAGATCTAAAGTTTTTTTTTTTTTTAAGTTTTATTAAGTACGCTCTACACCCAACGTGGGACTCAAACTCACGACTCCGAGATCAAGAGTCACATGCTCCACCGACTGAGCCAGCTGGGTGCCCCAGATCCAAAGTCTTCTGACTTTTTTCCCTGCAGTCTCTCTCCACAAAGTCCATGGGCTGCATCTCTTGTCCCCGAGAGGAGCTCCTGTGACAACACCAAGCTCAAAAACCTCTCTTTTTCCAACTGGAAGTAAATCAACCACCCCAGGAGAGAGTCACTGACTTCTGCTCTCCATAAAGGCATATCCATCCACCATCAGCCATAGACTATCATGCCCTAAACGCCTAAAGGGGTGAGAAACTTAAAGATTCAAAGAAATGCGATCTCTGAAGCCTCAGATCGCCAAAACTGGCAAAAGTGGGCTTCTGAAGGAAGGCAACCTCCCAGAAAGGCTGGCAATCCACCAAGAACTATGTGGTCCTGACCCCCTAGAGAACTGCAAGATTTTATACCACTCTTCTTCTGGGGAGCTGCCTCCATTTCCCAGATGGGGGACCCTAAAGTACCAGACCTTACCGCAGGCCCCGATGAAGCACTAAGCCTTAGGGCCAACTGCGCTGTGCCGCTTGCCAGGTCCAGGGAGTGGTGCCAGTGTCTGTCCCCTGAGGCACCCGCTCATTACGCCCAGAACCGTGCGTCTTGCTTAACGTCAACGCCTTTCCAGCTAGCCCTCAAACTTTTCTTCAAGTTGGCAAAGAAAGAGGGTGACTGCCTAGTCCAAGAAAGTAAGACTCACAGATGCCTATCCATCTACCATGCATAGGCCCACATCTGGGCAGACTCACTGCCCGCCTATCAGAACACCCAACATCACACACGCTCCCGGGAGCTGGCAGGCACGGGCACACACACCTGAGCGTGCATTCAGGTTCTCTAATAAGACCATCATCCCCACCTATCCTGGCACTTGGCTGAGAAATGGACTAAGGAACAGGAGGCACAGAAAGCGAGACCTGCCATTCAAGCACCACCACTGAATAACACAGCCCATGGTGCCGGACAATGAGCTGCATCTTCTGCTGTGGCCATGGGTGAGGTAATCCTCCAGCTGGGCCTCCATGTCTTTGTGTATAAAATAAGGGACCCAAGGTAGTTAGCAGCAATATTCCAAGGCAGGAGCTCTAAGAACCTCCACAAATGCTCTATATAGGCAGGATGCTTTCTAGTGAGAAGTAGGCTGTAGGACAAAATCAAGGATTGACTTCCAGGCAGGGACACAAGGTCCACATTTTGATGACCCAGTTTCCCTTGCAATGTTGTCAGATGACCCCTGAGGCAGCAGGAAGCAGGAGAAACAAAGTCTGCTGGACTACTGGCCCCAAGCAGCTTCCAGGGGTCTGGGCATGAAACCAGCACTACTCCCTACCCTGGCCAGGACCCTCACCTGAGGGAGGTTACTGAAAACAGTAACCTGCCCAAGACCAAAACACCAACCAAGACCTCACCATACTCATGCACTTTTCTGTATTAGATGTAAAGATCTAGAACCCTGGCTCAGACTATGGTTCATTGATCTCCAGTGAAAGGCTCCTCTACCAAAGCAAAGCAAAAAGTCTTGCTGGCCCCAGGCCCCCGTGTCATCATTTGATCTTGCGGGCAATTTCAAGTGCTCTGAAAAGTAAGGGTGCCTAAAGAACTGAAATTCACAGGAAACCCAAGCCAAAAGCTTCATCTTCCTCATTCCAAACTTGTAGTTGGTGAAGTTGGGTGTTTCGGGTCCTTTTACTTCCTCTGCTCATTCCTGGTGTAGGGACTCACAGTGCAAATGGTCAGAAGGCAAGGAGCAAGTGGTTGGAAAGGAAAAAAGAAAGACCCTAAACAAACAGGGCGCAACCAAAGTCCTCCAGCCCAAGCATGAATCCTGGGCTCCAACTCCCTTCCTGAGATAGGACAATCTCAAAGCACCCCAAGTGTCCAGGGGACTGCCCTCTCATCCTAACCACCCACCACTATCACACCCTTCATGACGGTACAACAGAAAGCCCAATAAAAGAGAAGTCAATGTCTTTGACATGAACACCATAGAAGAATGCAGGAAAACACATTATTTCTACTATGAATAGTCTTCCTTATAATCAGGCCTCACCTTCTCTCAAATGGTTACATTCTCTCTTCTCCCTAACCCAGGAAGACCCTGGTAAAGTGTCTGTGGTTCAAGGAAGCCTGTGCTTCTCCAGTTGATACATCTTGTTCAAGAAGAAAAAAAGGAAACCCAGGGAGAATTTCCATAGTCAGGGGTGAGGAGGTCTGGAGGATGGGAAACTTTAAGCAGTCGCACCAACCAAATAAACAGAAATAGAGGAATATTCAGGCAGGCCAACGCCACTTGCCCTGTCAACTGGACAGGGAGCTGGCAGCCGGTTGAAGGAACAAGGGGGAAAACACATGCAACAAACAGGGTGAGGGGATGAAAGCGATTCCGCTACACCCAGGCCTTCCCCCTGAGCTCCAGGGACTGCCCGAAGCGAGCAAGCCAGACGCTGGAAGCTAGAGGGGCTGGAGGGGAGGGAGGGGGCGACGGCATACCACCGTCGGAGATACCAGGCCTCGCGTGGCGCGCGGGGAGTGCACACCCGGCCGGGACTGCGTGCAAGGGTGGGGTGGGCGTGCAAGTGGCTTGGCGAGGGGCTGCGGGCGTCCCCGGCAGGGCCCGCGGGGCGAGGGCCGGGCCTGCGGGGGGGCGTGGGAGCGCACGGGGCGGCGCTCGGAGGGGCGCGCGCGGGGGAGCTGGTTACCGTGTGGTTCACCCCCCACATCAGGACGCTGAGGATCGGCTCGCTGGCCCGGAATAGCTTCACTTTCTGGCACACGAAATGCTTCTTCTTGGTCTTGGTCTTGCTGGCGCTGAGCGGCGCCACCGCCACCGCCGTGGTGCTGGTGCAGTTGGACGACATGCCCGGGGCGGCGGCGGCGGCGGCGGCGGCGAAAGGGGGGGCGGCCGAGACGGCGCACAAGCCAGCGGCCCCAGGCCTCCCCGGGACCGATCCCCACCCCCGCTCCCTCACCGCGCCATGGTCGCGCCCGTCCCGTTACCTCCCCACCCCGCCCCGGTGGTTCCGTCCGCCCCACGCCCCGCCCCCCCACGCCCCGCCCCGCCCCGCCCCGCCCCGCTCCAGGGAGCCGGCCGGCTCGCTCCGCACCCCTCGGTCTCCAGGCGCTCTTCTCCCCGCCCGGGTGGTAGCGCCCGTCCCGGGGAGGCAGCGGCTGCCCCGCCCGCCCCTCCTCCCCGGGCCTGACAGGAACCGGGCTGGCCTTGGGACGCCTCAGAGCCCCGCACCGAAACGTGGAGGGGATGAGGGCTGGGGGGAGGGCTCGCCGTCTACCGCGGGAGGGTCCCCCTGTCCGGGCCCCCCCCCAAATCCAGGGTTTGGCTCTTTCCCTCAACCTGACGTGCCAAGATGGCGGCGGCGCCCAGTCTGCGGAGGGGAGGAGGGGCGGGAAGGCGAGGAGGGTGAGACGTACCATCCCACCCCGGGGGAGACAGGAGGAAGCCAGCAAAGGGAAAAGGAAGTCCTGCCGGGAAAACCAAGGAACTCCCCCTCGCTCCACCCAAGCGTGGATCTTCCCACTCCCCTGGGTCTGAAGTGCGCTCCCCCCCGCGGGTCACGCCCCTTTTCCCCGGGGCCAATGAGAGCAGCGGGCCGGGAGCCCTGGGTTTTATGAATGGGTCCCGCACCCACCCACCAGCCGCTTGGCCTCCTTCCTCCAAAGGGTCGAGTTAAGAGACCGGCGGCACCTTTAGACATCTATCCTACAGCGGAGAATCGTAATCGTCTTATTCTCTGGCTCACTTCATGACATCTTTGAGTAAACTGCCCACGCTTTGTTATATAATTCCTCTCGGACGAAGGATCTCCAAACATTTGACACAAATTACGGGTCAGTATTGTTCTGTATGGGAATTCGTAAATTCGGTACTCAGCGCATGGTTGCTCTTTAAACAGTTGCAAAAATAAATGTAGCCTTTATTACCAAGTAATAAAATAAAAGACAATTAGCATAGAGAAGCAGGATGAGGTGATTAAATGAATAACAAGTGTGTTACTTTCTCTCTGGGGAAAGACTGGGTTTTAAGTATTACAGTGCCTGGCATCATAAATGCACAAAAATATAAATCCAAATTCGTTTTAAGCAGAATTAGGGATTAGCAGAACAAGGAACTAGCCCGGCTAATGTGTGGGTCAAGAGGGCCTAAGGAGTTCGTGGGTCAAATGACGGCTTCTGGTAAAAGAACAGAAAAGGGAAAGGAGTAAAGGCAAGAGACTGGTCCCAAGAGTCTTGGGGTTTTTAATACCTGACTAAAAAATAGTAGGAAACTCCTGAAAATCTACAATTGTAATAAGATTACTACATGATTAAAAGGAAGCCATGAAATAAAACAGCTTCCATTTTATTTTCTTTTAAGAGCCAGGGTGGGAACACACTGGTAATTTGGTCCTGACTCCTAAAATCATCTGACTTCACTGCTGCACTGCCCACAGGGGAGCCTGTAAGCAGTGTAAAAGGACAAATACCCTGGATCCTATCTACAAACCCAGGCTTCTCCTAAACTAGCCGGATTCAGAGGGGAAAAAAAGCTGACCTGCCTTACTGTATTACTCAGTAACATTATATAGTACAGTCCCTTACCAAACAAGATGTTCTCACAAAGCTAACTTTTTTAAAAAGCATGTAAAAATTATACATTTATACACATACACACAACACTTTTACAGTTCAAAAGATAGTCAACAGCTCATCTAGTGCTTTTTTGGATTGTTTCCCCTTCCAGATTGTTTGTCACCCCCTTGGCTCTGCCCTAAGCTGACATCATTCTGTCACATTATCTACTAAATCACATAGATGTTCATTTACCCCACGAAGGACAATCTACCTGGGCGACTCAGGAGAGAGGCTTCTGCAAGGTCCGGTCTACACTGAGGCACACTGTTCTCACAGCCAGGAAGAAGTGGCATAGTAAGTACCATGACCACAGGAAACAGCCTTCCAGAGCAGGATGAGTGCTCACACCTAGAGTGTCCAGTGCCCACTCACTAAAACCTATAAGACACTCAGCAAAAGTTACTGAGGGTCCCATAAAGTACGCCACACTGGTTCCCCAAGGAAGTAAGCTGTCTCGGGAATCACTGGAGGAGAGTCACTCTGAACAGCGGTGCTCTGACAACTGTACAAGAAGTCACTTGAACTCTTATAAAGAGAATGTTTAAGGGATCGGCAGCCTCCCTGGAAAATTCAGGAAAACCAGCAAGAGAGGGGATGGCTTTCATCTTTTCATAAAGTTCTTCTCCAGAGCTACTGAGGTTCTCTGTAGAGAGTAGATGTTCCGTTTCACCCTATCCTCCAGGGAGGAGGTAGATGCGCTCTCCAGCTTCATGCGGCTAGGAAGAGAAGACAGGAGAATAACGTGAGTAACAAATATTTGTCAACTGGTCAGCCATCTAGCAGAAATAGAAGAAACAGGTTGCCAGCCATAAAGCAGATGTAGAAACCCAAGCTCTTTTAAGCCCATGTAGGTAACCTTGGAGTGGACTCCATCTGGAACTCAATTTGTTAAAACAACTTCCATCAGGGAAAAGTTATCTGTTTTGGAAACCAAGTAAAGCCTCATTGGAAAAAGGCCTCCTGAGCCATGAATTCTTATTTAAATGGAAGGCAAGGAGATTCAGTGAAAATACCAATTCACTCCTCCTTCCTTCAAATAAAAAATATCCCACTGCCTAGCTAGATGCTGGGAGTAGTAACAAAGGTGGCTTGGAAGCTGACCTCCCTGTTCTCACTGCAGACACAGAAACACCAGGAACACAATGAATGAATCAGCTACCCAACTGCCTCCTTGGAACCACAGCCACGAAAGCCCTTAGGCAGCAAGATGCACTCACTGGATAAACTTCCCATCCCGGGCACCCAGCTTCTCCAGCCTCTGTTCCCGTTCGTCATCCTTAGCGTGCCTCTTGAGGATGTTCAGCCTCTCTTCCTCCCGCCACTTGGCATTTTCCATCATTTCTTGACGTTTTCGCTCTAGTTCCTCTGATGAGAGCTTTCTGTTGAACACAAAACCCATCCTATCAGGTCTACTTCTCTCTCAGCAAAAAAAAAAAACAAACACTACAGGGAGAACAGAAATCAGGTAGGATCCCCGCCCTGCTCTATGGAAATGTTCTACCCAGGGCCACACTCAGCATGAGTTTCCTTCCATCCTAATATCTTGGGCAGATGGCTTCATCCAAATTTCAAAGACTTGTAGGGACGGATTCCCTACTCTCAGTAATCTCTGGAGTGATTCATTATTCTAAACGTTAAATACAAAATATTCCAACTGTTTGCTCAACGACTTATTGAAGAACACAGGACTAAGTTAGCCATGTGACTGACATCTACCATCTACCCATTGGAAATGCTTAGAAATTCATGGACATAGCCCAGGAGTACACCGCTTTAGGAATAAGCTTGAAGCCAGATGCCTGAAGAATTCAGTCAATTCAACTTAATCTCAGAGAGTAATAGGTAGGTCTTCTTCCCTGGCACTCACTGCAAATGAAGTCAGAACAAGAAGAGGAGGTGATGAACCAGGTCAATCACTATTTAACAATGACAGAAATCCAAATCCACTGCTTCTCAAATGGGTATGATAAGCCCATTTAAAAGATCCCCCTTTAAGAGAAAAAATAATTGGTGGAGTCCCATTAGGGAGTGGAATTCAATTTTGAGACAGAAACTTAAAACACTAAAACTTGACATTTAGTTGTCTATAGTGAAATGATAATACTCCCTTTCAAAAAACCCACTAAATAAAATATATAAAACCACAAAGAGAATAGGAGAGAAGACATTGGATAAGAGATGTCTAAAAATTGTTGGAAGATGGAAGTGGATGAAGGGGTGGTAACTACTTTTCACAGATTAGAGAAAACTCAATCCCTTTAAGTGCCCAATACAAACAGAAGCAAAATCCAGGAAAGGCTCAGAGACTGCAGGCACCAAGTAGAGGATGGTGGTAAAGCTCAGTCTTTAAGTCTGTATGAGGAGGGGCGCCTGAGTGGTTCAGTCGTTGGGCGTCTGCCTACGGCTCAGGTCATGATCCCAGAGTCCCGGGATCGAGCCCTGCATCAGGCTCCCTGCTCTGCAGGAAGCCTGCTTCTCCCTCTCCCACTCTCCCTGCTTGTGTTCCCTCTCTCGCTATGTCTCTGTCAAATAAATAAATAAAATCTTTTTAAAAAAAATAAAGTCTGTATGAGGAGCAATTAAGACACCCTGGGTCCTCATGCCTAACTTGGGGAAGCCAGTGATTGTTCTCCCAAACATCGAAAGAGACCTTCCAGAAGGGAGACCCTTCTAGGAGTTTCTGAAGAACTAAGCTAGACAGGAAATCAGAAGTTGCAGGCAAATCAGGCACAGCAAAGGAAGCTGGCAGGGCCACCAGGAGTGAAAATAATTTCTCCCAAAATGCCAGCAGCCAGAGTTAGACCCATTGGTCACACAGCCAAAGGGCTTTTTCCTTCTATAGAAAAAAAAATTTTTTTTAAGATTTATTTATTTATTTGAGAGAGAATGCAAGCAGGGGGAGGGGGAAAAGGGAGAGGGAGAGAATCTCCAGCAGGCCCTCCACTGAGTGTGAAGCCCAACACAGGGCTCAATCCCACGACTCCATGATCATGACCTGAGTGGAAACCAAGAGTCAGGCGCTCAACCAACTGAGCCACTCAGGTACCCTCTTCTATAGAAATGTAATGGTTCCTGGGGGCCTGGGTGGCTCAGTCGGTTAAGCGTCTGCCCTCGGCTAGGGTCATGATCTCAGGGTCCCGGGATTGAGCCCCACAGGGGCTCCCTGCTCGGCGGGGAGCCTGCTTCTCCCTCTCCCTCTGCTGCTCCCCCTGCTTGTGCTCTCTCTGTCAAATAAATAAATAAAAATTTTTTTAAAAAAGAAGAAATATAATGGTTCCTGACAAGAAAACCAAAGACACTGATATAAAAGTGTCCCCAGCTAAAAACCAGTTCAAACCCAATCTCCCACC